GTGCAATCAATTAGCTTAATTTGTCAGAGAGCAAATTATATTTCAACAAAATAATGTTGCAGGAATGCTAATCTGATCTGTTTCTAACTACATAAACGGTTTCAGAACAATCAGAGATGGTGGGTGTCGAAATCCTATTTCTTGTGCTTTTTGAAGTGCAACGACCCACTATCCAGTTTTTCATTTTTGTCATATAGGCCTAGCCTAAGATGTTTGAGAATAGGTAGCTGCCCCTCCAAAGCATTTTCGTATTGTAGGGTACTCAATGCGTCTCATGGCTTGAATAGGCCTACATCTTTCTGCATTAAACCTACTTTGTGGTTTCCTTTCAGCCTTTTTCTCATGATGCTTGTTGGTGGCTGTTACATAGGTCACTGATCACTTGAACACTAGTCTAGTGTGCTACTGAAGATGCTCCCTCTATCTTATCTGACTTAAGGTAGGTGTTCTAGAAAATGCTCTTTGTTGAGTAAAATGTGTAGTGTTGCCTTTGGCTACAAGTAAGTGTTCAAAGCCACCATTAAAGGGAGTGTTAACTGTTCACAGTAATGTGAGGGACAGATTATCAAGTTTCACAAAAATGCATGGTTATTGTTACAGTAAACTTTTAGTAGCCTACTGTGTCAGTTTATAGGGTTTGTTATCATTGTTTATGCTTATTCTTTCAGCTGTGAAAGATTTGCTTCTGATCCAGCTTCTGTAATGGCATGTTGAACTTGCTTAAGCTTGTTTTGGAATAAACCAGAGACATTAGCTATAAACTCAGTATAGTCTCGGTACTAACACTGTACAGTAGAGTCATTTCCCTCAGCTTTGTTGACAGCCTGCGACTCGTGGGTGGTAAAATTACACTTTTTGAATTCCTATGGCATTGCTCACACCATCTTGCCAAGAATGTGCAAGAAAAAGGAATATTTTACTGTGTCAACAAACCTGCCATGTCACTGACACTGCGTCCACTTGATTTTGCACGGACAGCCTAAATACAATTCACATGATCTTCTGTAGTGTTATAAATTTGAGAATGCATGACTAAAAAGGTTTTCTGAATGTGGAGGACGTTTTGTGTTGGCTTAATAGGCTCTATTGTTGTGCTTGTCCTAGAATTCCTGCTATGACCCATTTATGACACAAGTTTGGCTACTTGCCGAATAAGGCTCTTTCAGATGAGGCTGTTCTTGTTTAGGTTATAATACTTTGAATTCCAGCCGCTCCATTCTCATAAGGGTTTCTCTTAAGAGTTTTCACATATTAGATCAAGGCAGACTACTTGAAGACGTTCCCTTCTAAATAGGCTAGTCTACTGTGGGGATGGCATGTGTGATCTGACTGGGATATGCACAACAACATTCCCAATAGAAAGGCACATTTTTCTAGTCTCTGGTGCGCTTGGTGCATCTTTGACAAATTGTGTTGGCCCGACTATTTAACTTCCAAAACTGGTAGTTCAAGTTTGAAGATGTTCTTGGTAGCCTACTTTATTTATCAGCACTCTCTTGTGAGACACTGGAGAACTTAAAAGTATTCAGTGTGAGACAATGGAGCAGAACAGAAGGCATCTGACTTGGAGATAATAAGCTTTTTTCCCCCTGAGGTTTAAAGGCAGATTAAATAGGCTGTCTAGTAGTACCAGAGGTAGAGTGATTGTCTGTCTGTTTATAATCTGCCTCATCTCTAAAGGTTTACGCCATTATCTCACGTTAGATAGACTAGCCCACATCCTGTTGTTGTAGCTACAGTTTTAAACAATGGTTTCTGGTCTCTATTTACTTTGTTTCAATGTCTTAGTGTGGTAGTCCTAGAAATAGTTACCTGAGAGCAGAGATGAGGGATGGTGAGGTTAGGTAGCCTATTTGTTACCATTTTGTTTTGGGCGGTTGTTCACTGTTCACCCACCCACTTCCTAAGCTAAGCTGGTCTCCCTCCTCTTCCTCCAGAGTCTTTATTTCAGAAAACTCTGCCTCTTGCATCAGATGGTTGTTGCGGTCTATAAAGGGTTAGGCTAATCAAAGGAGTACCTTTTATTTAGGGTAATTCATAGAAAACTTTCCACCAACTGTCTGCAACTAGTGACTAACCAACATTCAACAAGCAGTTTGCCTTTGTCGACCAGGACAGGTGCTATCAATTTGCTGTAATTTGTGCAGAATGTTTAACACATTTACTATAGTTTCTGTATGTGCCTTACAGGAGGTTGGTGGCAGCTTAAATGGGGAGGACCGCCTCGTGGTAATGGCTGGAGTGGAATAAGTGGAATGATGCCATTCCATTGACTCCGTTCCAGACATTATTATGAGCCGTCCTCCCCTCTGCAGCCTCCACTGATGTGCCTCAATCCTCCTTCCAGGAAATATGCAGAACTGAGGGTGACTCTCCATCCTCCCGGCCCGGCGAAGTGTGAGACTAAACAGCGTGCCTTGAGGAAAAGGGAAGGGAAGAGGGACGATGGGGTTCGGACGGGACCTGGGGAACTCCCACGACGGGCTGTTGAAGCTGCAGGACTGGGAGCTGAAGCTGCTGGAGACAGTGAAGCGCTTCATGACGCTACGGGTGAAGAGCGACAAGGAGTACGCCTCACTCCTCCTCAACATCAGCCAGCAGGTGGACAAGCACGACAACTCCTCCCAGATGGACTACATCAGCAACGTCTCCAAGGTAAATACAAACACATATCAATTCAGAAATATACAGTGGGGGAAAAAAGTATTTAGTCAGCCACCAATTGTGCAAGTTCTCCCACTTAAAAAGATGAGAGAGGCCTGTAATTTTCATCATAGGTACACGTCAACTATGACAGACACATTTAGAAAACAAAATCCAGAAAATCACATTGTAGGATTTTTTATGAATTTATTTGCAAATTATGGTGGAAAATAAGTATTTGGTCACCTACAAACAAGCAAGATTTCTGGCTCTCACAGACCTGTAACTTCTTCTTTAAGAGGCTCCTCTGTCCTCCACTCGTTACCTGTATTAATGGCACCTGTTTGAACTTGTTATCAGTATAAAAGACACCTGTCCACAACCTCAAACAGTCACACTCCAAACTCCACTATGGCCAAGACCAAAGAGCTGTCAAAGGACACCAGAAACAAAATTGTAGACCTGCAACAGGCTGGGAAGACTGAATCTGCAATAGGTAAGCAGCTTGGTTTGAAGAAATCAACTGTGGGAGCAATTATTAGGAAATGGAAGACATACAAGACCACTGATAATCTCCCTCGATCTGAGGCTCCACGCAAGATCTCACCCTGTGGGGTCAAAATGATCACAAGAACGGTGAGCAAAAATCCCAGAACCACACAGGGGGACCTAGTGAATGACCTGCAGAGAGCTGGGACCAAAGTAACAAAGCCTACCATCAGTAACACACTACGCCGCCAGGGACTCAAATCCTGCTGCGCCAGACGTGTCCCCCTGCTTAAGCCAGTACATGTCCAGGCCCGTCTGAAGTGTGCTAGAGTGCATTTGGATGATCCAGAAGAGGATTGGGAGAATGTCATATGGTCAGATGAAACCAAAATAGAACTTTTTGGTAAAAACTCAACTCGTCTTGTTTGGAGGACAAAGAATGCTGAGTTGCATCCAAAGAACACCATACCTACTGTGAAGCATGGGGGTGGAAACATCATGCTTTGGGGCTGTTTTTCTGCAAAGGGACCAGGACGACTGATCCGTGTAAAGGAAAGAATGAATGGGGCCATGTATCGTGAATTTTTAAGTGAAAACCTCCTTCCATCAGCAAGGGCATTGAAGATGAAACGTGGCTGGGTCTTTCAGCATGACAATGATCCCAAACACACCGCCCGGGCAACGAAGGAGTGGCTTCGTAAGAAGCATTTCAAGGTCCTGGAATGGCCTAGCCAGTCTCCAGATCTCAACCCCATAGAAAATCTTTGGAGGGAGTTGAAAGTCTGTGTTGCCCAGCGACAGCCCCAAAACATCACTGCTCTAGAGGAGATCTGCATGGAGGAATGGGCCAAAATTGGGCCAGCAACAGTGTGTGAAAACCTTGTGAAGACTTACAGAAAACGTTTGACCTGTGTCATTGCCAACAAAGGGTATATAACAACGTATTGAGAAACTTTTGTTATTGACCAAATACTTATTTTCCACCATAATTTGCAAATAAATTCATTAAAAATCCTACAATGTGATTTTCTGGATTATTTTTTCTCATTTTGTCTGTCATAGTTGACGTGTACCTTTGATGAAAATTACAGGCCTCTCTCATCTTTTTAAGTGGGAGAACTTGCACAATTGGTGGCTGACTAAATACTTTTTTTCCCCACTGTAGATATATTAATGTATGCAGTACAGACACAACAGTGTCTTTAAGGTGAGATAGGAGATAAGAAGATGGTTTGTTGACCCCCTCCCTCCTTCCCTCTTTCCCTCTTTCCCTCCCTCCCTCCCTCCCTCTTTCCCTCCCTCTTTCCCTCCCTCCCTCCCTCCCTCCCTCCCTCCCTCCCTCCCTCCCTCCCTCCCTCCCTCCCTCCCTCCCTCCCTCCCTCCTTCCCTCCCTCCCTCCCTCTTCTATCTTTCTCTTTTCTTCCTCTCCCATCTCTCCAGTCTTGGGCCCACATGGTCCAGCAAACGGAACAGTTGAGTAAGATCATGAAGTGTCACGCGGAGGAGCTGAACTCTGGCCCTCTGCACAGACTCACCATGATGATCAAAGACAAGCAGCAGGTCAAGAAGAGCTACCAGAGCATCCACACACAGATCGAGTCCGAGATGAACAAGGTACTGTATACACCCAAACACACTTACACACACATTTAGCGTACTCCTGCTTCAAACATCGTCTTTCCTGTGCATTTACTTTATTTGCAGTTATATGGGGCCTTGTTGACAGGGTGTTTCACAGGTGTGGTCCGAGTGTAAATGAGGTGAACTTCTATTGTTGCTAAGATGCTAATCTTGCTTTTGTTTGATCAGGGCAGGTTTTTTTATTTGACTAGAGGATGTGATGTTGTTTTCGATATGATCTCTCGTAGGTGACAAAAAGTGACCTAGAAAAGTTAAAAGGCACCTACAGACAATTAACGAAGGATGCCCACAGTGCCAAAGAAAAGTACAGAGACGCAATGGTGAAAGGTAAGAATCTCTCCTGATTATTTACTGAGAAATTCTAGTTTAATGTAATGATTCATAGTAGGGCAGTTTTCCTTGGAGGAAATGCATGAAATCTTATTACAGACCAGCTGAAGTGCATCAATACATGAATCACCAAACCCTACGGAGGGAGATCATATGGCCGACATGTCTTGGGAGGAGGATGATGAGGCACAACCATATTAAACCTCCTCCATACAAACCAGCAGTACAGCACTTCTTGGTTTGTTTTCAGGCAAGGAGCCGGAGAAGGCGAGGGAGCGCTACGACAAGGCCACCATGAAGCTCCACAACCTCCACAACCAGTACGTGCTGGCGGTGCGGAGCGCCCAGCTCCACCAGGAGCACTACCACGACACCACGCTGCCCCTCCTCCTCGACTCCCTGCAGAAGATGCAGGAGGAGATGATCAGTGCACTGTGAGTGTGTGGCTCCAGCAGAGATCAACAAGGGATATACTACATAAAGCATCATATTCAAATGGGTTTGAGAATGTTTTGGAGGTTAAAGTAGATGAACAAAAAAAATAAGAGTCTGTGTGTTTACTTTGTCATTTGCTTCGTTAAGTCTCAACCCTTAGGTTGAAACCTGATGAAGGTCTAAGGGTTGAAACGTTGTTGGTGAACACACTTGGGTGCATATGCCACTGTGTGCAGAGTGTTCCTTTTCTGCAGTGTCCAACCTAGACTTCCAGCAGTAGACTGCAGGTTATGAGTCATCAGATCTGTGATGCCCTAACATGTCAGGCGACGTAAACATTCTTTGGAAATTGTAATACGTAAATGAATAACTATTTGCGAGGGTTCTTCTTGTTGTCGCATGGGATTAGATCCCAGATTAGGCTTAATCCCATAATTTCATAGCTGTCGTGGGATTACTAGGAGGCAGAGGCAACCTCTTTTTCAGAATGTCCCGCTTAAGCTGTGTTTTTAATCACAACGTTTTTTAAATCTCAGATGTTAATAACAGGAGAACAATTCAGAGCACCTCTGCTAAAATGATATTTCTGAACTGAGTGAGAGTGTGATGAGAAACACAATGGGTTTAGAATGACAACGTGTCGATCCCTGGTTTCATAATCCCGCAGAGATGTCCATCTGTGTGATCGTCGAGTCACGCAAATGTGTGTGTGTGTTTTTAAATCTTTAATATACTGAGCAAATTCTTACCTCAATATTAACCTTGTTTTATGATTTTGTTATGATTTTCTGACTGTTGCGACATTTTCAGGAAGGGGATTTTGGAAGAATACAGTGAAATCACCAGTCTCTTAACTGATGAAATCGTGAAGGTCCACAAAGAAATCCACACCTCCATCGACCAAATTGACCCTGTGTCAGAGTATGAACACTTCATTGAGGTTCACAAGTAGGTTTTTAGTTTAAGGCCTTTGAAATGTGGCCTTTTATGCTTCACTAACAGTACTTTATTCCCATTTAAATGTCTAATTTTGGTTAACATGAAGTATAATCTTCTTCAGGTCTCCAGAAACCAAAGAACCGAATGTAGAATTTGACGTTTCACTGTTGGAGGAAACAGAGAATCTTCAAGCAAATGAGATCCTATGGAACAATTTGACTGCAGACAGTTTACAAGCGATGTGAGTAGAACATGTATGACGGGAGGAGGGTATTGCCCTCATTAACCTTGTCTCGTTCTCTGACGTTTTGAAAAGAAGGTGAGAGGAGGGTGCGAGGAATCAAGCAGTACAGCATCTCCGATTGACTAAGGATATAGTGTGTGCCTCTGTTGACTGACTGATTGTGTCAAAGGTCAGATTCACTTTAATCCACTGTATCTCTTTCTGCAGGCTGAAATCCACATCAGATGAGCTGGGCCTCACTCAGCAGAGCCTACGCACCAAGGAGGATCTCATGCAAGATCTAGAGAACAAGCTTGATGAGTCCACCAAAACATGTGAAAAGAAGTCTGAGTACGTTGCTACCATAACAGTACAGCTCTAATGATTCTTACATTCTGCTTGATAAGATTATCTCCCATAGCAGCTAGCATGTTAGTATTCTGTCCACCATTATGAGAAGTCATGTTCAAATGAATTTTATCATGGGGCAAAACTGATATGTTAGATGTTTTCCACAATCTCATGGCTTTCAGTTGTACATGTGCCGTTAAGCAATAACAACAGAGACCATTAGAGACTAGCTTAATAGATTCCAAGTTTGGCGTTGTTTCTAAGAAGCCTGATTGGCCATGATATAACTCTAGGAGCATGAATGATGTGAAGATTCATTGAGGCGGACAGGGTACAATAGACAGAGGTATGTCTGTAGCACAGGGCTCAGCACATATTTCAGGGTCTGCTGGATAATCCCCTATAAGAGACAATGATATTATAAGGGCTTGTTCAGTCATCCCCATGTGAAGTCTCAGCTACAGGTGTGGTTATGTATGAGGACTGGTTGTATGGCCTAGGCTAGTTTTTTTCCTGTCTGAAGTTCTCTTTTTGAAAACATGAATAAAGTCATTTGATTAGGGCAGTTTTCAAGTAGTGAGAAGTTGTTCTTTTTTCTGAAAAATTGTGCCTATAGGTTTTAGCACTTGTGTGGCAAGCAATCACTTTTAAAAATGGACCTCAGCTTCCACAGCAATGTTTGTTGGGTGTTTGACTAAATTGTTTTGAGTGAAATGTCTTCACACCCATTAATCAGAGTACAGAAACAGCTCAGCTGTTAAACTGTAGGCTATATATCCCTCTGGTGGAACGCAAACTAGAAAATAATTTTCCACATCCTCGTTCCGAGAGGTGGATTAAGTAGTAATACTGTTTGATTTCAGACGAGCACCAGAGCGTGACCTCTTTCTCTCTCTCTTTCTCAATCTCTATCTATTCCTATTTTTTCACTCTCACATTCTCTCTCTCCATCTCTCTGCCTCTCTCTCTCCTTGTCTCTCACACCACACTCATTCTCTCTTTCCATCTCTCCTTCACTCAATCAGTGCGGTGCTGCTGCTCAGTCAGAAGCAGTCTTTGGAGGAGCTGAGGCAGACAGTCCAGTTGCTGCGCTGCACAGAGGCCAAGCTGGGCGCCCAGAAGGACCTGCTCGACCACAAGATGCAGGAGAACGAGGGCAAGGAGCCTCCCCCCATGGTCAACTACGAGGACGACGCGCGCTCCGTCAACTCCATGGTGAGTGAGTGGGTGTTGTTGTGGAGTTGACCGTTGTTGGTTTTTGAATAGGAAGGACTTACTTGTCAAGTCAGAATCCAAACTGATAAGTGATGGCGAACCATGGGGAAACGGAGCACATCAATGTGGATTCCAGGCTATTACTTCCTTTGTAATCAGAAGGAACGCAGCACTTTCCGCTCAGACTGTCCCACTATGAACTCCTCTGTCTCTAACCTTTTCAGAGATACTATACAGTCGTGGTCAAAGGTTTTGAGAATGACACAAGTATTGGTTTTCACAAAGTTCGCTGCTTCAGTGTTATGAGATATTTTTGTCAGATGTTACTATGCTATACTGAAGTATAGTTACAAGCATTCCATAAGTGTCAAAGGCTTTTATTGACAATTACATTAAGTTTATGCAAAGAGTGAATATTTGCAGTGTTGACCCTTCTTTATCAAAACCTCTGCAATCCGCCCTGGCATGCAGTCAATTAACTTCTGGGCCACATCCTGACTGATGGCAGCCCATTCTTGCATAATCAATGGTTGGAGTTTGTCAGAATTTGTGGGTTTTTGTTTGTCCACCCGCCTCTTGAGGATCGACCACAAGTTCTCAATGGGATTAAGGTCTGGGGAGTTTTCTGGCCATGGACCCAACATTTCGATGTTTTGTTCCCCGAGCCAGTTAGTTATCACTTTTGCTTTATGGCAAAGTGCTCCATCATGCTGGAAAAGGCATTGGTCGTCACCAAACTGTTCATGGATAGTTGGGAGAAGTTGCTCTCGGAGGATGTGTTGGTACCATTCTTTATTCATGGCTGTGTTCTTAGGCAAAATTGTGAGTAAGCCCACTCCCTTGGCTGAGAAGCAACCCCACACATGAATGGTCTCAGGATGCTTTACTGTTAGCATGACACAGGACTGATGGTAGCGCTCACCTTGTCTTCTCTGGACAAGGTGTTTTCCGGATGCCCCAAACAATCGGAAAGGGGATCCATCAGAGAAAATGACTTTACCCCAGTCCTCAGCAGTCCAATCCCTGTACCTTTTGCAGAATATCAGTCTGTCCCTGATGTTTTTCCTGGAGAGAAGTGGATTCTTTGCTGCCCTTCTTGACACCAGGCCATCCTCCAAAAGTCTTCACCTCACTGTGCGTGCAGATGCACTCACACCTGCCTGCTGCCATTCCTGAGCAAGCTCTGCACTGGTGGTGCCCCGATCCCGCAGCTGAATCAACTTTAGGAGACGGTCTTGGCACTTGCTGGACTTTCTTGGGCGCCCTGACGCCTTCTTCACAACAATTGAACCTCTCTCCTTGAAGTTCTTGATGATCTGATAAATGGTTGATTTAGGTGCAATTTTACTAGCAGCAATATCCTTGCCTGTGAAGCCCTTTTTGTGCAAAGCAATAATGACGGCATGTGTTTCCTTGCAAGTAACCATGGTTAACAGAGGAAGAACAATGATTTCAAGCACCACCCTCCTTTTAAAGCTTCCAGTCTGTTATTCTAACTCAATCAGCATGACAGAGTGATCTCCAGCCTTGTCCTCGTCAACACTCTCACGTGTTAACGAGAGAATCACTGACATGATGGCAGCTGGTCCTTTTGTGGCAGGGCTGAAATGCATTGGAAAAGTTTTTTTGGGATTAAGTTCATTTTCATGGCAAAGAGGGACTTTGCAATTAATTGCAATTAATCTGATCACTCTTCATGACATTCTGGAGTATATGCAAATTGCCATCATCAAAACTGAGGCAGCAGACTTTGTGAAAATTAGTATTTGTGTCATTCTCAAAACTTTTGACCACGACTGTATAGCGTCTGTTGATTAAATGTCTTTGCTTGATGATTTTGTTAGTCTTAGATACTTTTGCGGCTGATATTTACTTATGTACACTTACACATACTGGTACTGTGTCAGTATACTGCTTTTCATTCATTGTATAGTAGTAGGCCAGTATGTGTTTTGTCTTCTGCTGTCTCCATGAATATACTCCTTCAGGCAAATCAAAGTTGTTGTTTTTTATCTAAAATATGCTGTTGTGCTGAATCTTTCATTTAAAACAATTTGTACCTTTCTCATCAAATGTCACTGAAATGTCGACCCATAGAGGTAAAAAAAATAGATGTATCTCTGTGTCAATCATGTCCCTGTTTTAAAAGCAGATGGTGTCATTATAAACCAGTTCAGAAGAAAAACACTGATAAACGTTGCATACCTGTTTTCCACAGATTTTTGTCATTTCAGTGAAATGGAAACATGTTTCACCAATGTTGAGATATTTGGCTTTGAATGGGGCAGTGTAAGAGATAAAGCTTTTTGTTGACTCTGCAGTATGTGGTAGATGATATGGTGGTGCTGTTGAGCCTCCTTTAGACTCTAGCTCTCTCTGCAGAGAGTTGGATGAGCAAAGGGGGGCAGTGTAAGCACATTGTGATGGCTATAAACCTCTATATAATATAATAATAATAAATATATATAATATCGTATTGTGAGGTCCCTGGCAATTCCCAGCCCCAATTAATCAAATGGCCACCCGGACTATTTGCATTGACCCCCCCCCCTTGGTTTTTACACTGCTGCTAAACTCGCTGTTTATTATCTATGCATAGTCACTTTATCCCTACCTACAGTGGGGGGAAAAAGTATTTAGTCAGCCACCAATTGTGTAAGTTCTCCCACTTAAAAAGATGAGAGAGGCCTGTAATTTTCATCATAGGTACACGTCAACTATGACAGACAAAATGAGAAAAGAAAATCCAGAAAATCACATTGTAGGATTTTAATGAATTTATTTGCAAATTATGGTGGAAAATAAGTATTTGGTCAATAACAAAAGTTTCTCAATACTTTGTTATATACCCTTTGTTGGCAATGACACAGGTCAAACGTTTTCTGTAAGTCTTCACAAGGTTTTCACACACTGTTGCTGGTATTTTGGCCCATTCCTCCATGCAGATCTCCTCTAGAGCAGTGATGTTTTGGGGCTGTCGCTGGGCAACACGGACTTTCAACTCCCTCCAAATATTTTCTATGGGGTTGAGATCTGGAGACTGGCTAGGCCACTCCAGGACCTTGAAATGCTTCTTACGAAGCCACTCCTTCGTTGCCCGGGCGGTGTGTTTGGGATCATTGTCATGCTGAAAGACCCAGCCACGTTTCATCTTCAATGCCCTTGCTGATGGAAGGAGGTTTTCACTCAAAATCTCACGATACATGGCCCCATTCATTCTTTCCTTTACACGGATCAGTCGTCCTGGTCCCTTTGCAGAAAAACAGCCCCAAAGCATGATGTTTCCACCCCCATGCTTCACAGTAGGTATGGTGTTCTTTGGATGCAACTCAGCATTCTTTGTCCTCCAAACACGACGAGTTGAGTTTTTACCAAAATGTTCTATTTTGGTTTCATCTGACCATATGACATTCTCCCAATCCTCTTCTGGATCATCCAAATGCACTCTAGCAAACTTCAGACGGGCCTGGACATGTACTGGCTTAAGCAGGGGGACACGTCTGCACTGCAGGATTTGAGTCCCTGGCGGCGTAGTGTGTTACTGATGGTAGGCTTTGTTACTTTGGTCCCAGCTCTCTGCAGGTCATTTACTAGGTCCCCCCGTGTGGTTCTGGGATTTTTGCTCACCGTTCTTGTGATCATTTTGACCCCACGGGGTGAGATCTTGCGTGGAGCCCCAGATCGAGGGAGATTATCAGTGGTCTTGTATGTCTTCCATTTCCTAATAATTGCTCCCACAGTTGATTTCTTCAAACCAAGCTGCTTACCTATTGCAGATTCAGTCTTCCCAGCCTGGTGCAGGTCTACAATTTTGTTTCTGGTGTCCTTTGACAGCTCTTTGGTCTTGGCCATAGTGCAGTTTGGAGTGTGACTGTTTGAGGTTGTGGACAGGTGTCTTTTAAACTGATAACAAGTTCAAACAGGTGCCATTAATACAGGTAACGAGTGGAGGACAGAGGAGCCTCTTAAAGATGAAGTTACAGGTCTGTGAGAGCCAGAAATCTTGCTTGTTTGTAGGTGACCAAATACTTATTTTCCACCATAATTTGCAAATAAATTCATAAAAAATCCTACAATGTGATTTTCTGGATTTTTTTCTCTCAATTTGTCTGTCATAGTTGACGTGTACCTATGATGAAAATTACAGGCCTCATCTTTTTAAGTGAGAGAACTTGCACAATTGGTGGCTGACTAAATACTTTTTTTCTTTACTGTACATGTACAAATGACCTGGACTAACCTGTACCAACACACATTGACTCGGTACCGGTACCCCTCGTTATTGTTATTTTATTGTGTTATTATTGTTTATTTTTTTGACTAGTTTATTTATTAAATATTTTCTTAACTCTATTTTCTTAAAACTGCATTGTTGGTTAAGGGCTTGTAAGTAAGCATTTCACGGTAAGGTCTACACCTGTTGTATTCGGCGCATGTGACAAATAACATTTTATTTTATTTGATACACTATAGTTTACTGTAGTCGGCTTGCTCAACTGTTTATTCTCAACAGATTTTCAACCAAATGTCTGTATTTTCAGGACAAAGGCAAAGACAGGACATCAAAGTTTGACACCTTGCGTCATTCCTTCGCTGGCATCATCCGCTCTCCCAAATCAGTCCTTGGCTCATCATCGGTAAATTCTAAAGTCTGTTAAAAAAAACAGGTTTTAAAAGCATTGTGTTCTTGTGTAGTGAGTGTGGAAACTATCCTGTCTATCATAGATATTGCATTCAAATTGTGCATTACCTGTTTAATCTGAGTGGAGTGACACAGATCTTATAGCTCTCTTGACTTGCGATTGATTCCTAACTGACATTATCATCATATCATCATGTCATATCATTCCATTGTACGTGTCCAGCAGTTTTTCGACGTGATCCCAACCAGTGAGAAGCCCCTGGGGGACCAGGAGTGGTACCATGGGGCCATCCCCAGGACCGAGGCCCAGGAGTTGCTCAAAGAGCAGGGAGACTTCCTGGTCCGGGAGAGCCACGGCAAGCCTGGCGAGTACGTCCTGTCCGTCTTCTCCGAGGGACAGCGGAGACACTTCATCATCCAGTTTGCAGACGTGAGTTCTACTTGTTCAGTTCTAAATAAAACTAAAGGCATTTCTTAGCCTGGTCATAGATCTGTTTGTGCCATGTTTGGCATGACAAGGAGTTGACATGATGGCACAAACAGATCTCAGACCAGGCTAGGTGTTTGTCTCACTGCAGAGCCACTAGGTTTCAGCAGTAAAAGAGACAAAATATAAAGGTGTAGGACCTTCCGAGTGGCGCAGCGTTCTAAGGCACTGCATGGCAGTGCTAGAGGCGTCACTACAGACCCGGGTACGATCCTAGGCTGTGGCGCAGCCGTCCGCAACCAGGAGACCAATGAGACGGTGCATAATTGGCCCAGCGTCGTCTGGGTTAGGGGAGGATTTGGCCGGCCGAGATGTCCTTGTCCCATTGCGTTCTAGTGACTCCTTGTGGCGGGCCGGTCGCCAGTTGTACGTGTTTCCTCCGACACATTGGTGCGGCTGGCTTTCGGGTTAAGCGAGCAGTGTGTCAAGAAGCAGTGCGGCTTGGCAGGGTCGTGTTTCGGAGGACGCATGGCTCTCGACCTTCACCTCTCCCGAGTCCGTACGGGAGTTGCAGCGATGGGACAAGACTGTAACTACCAATTGGATATCACGAAATTGGGGAGATAAAGGGGTAAAAAGTACACACAAAAATAAATATATATATATACAGTAACTTGCGAAAGTATTCACCCCGGTGACATTTTTCCTATTTTGTTGCCTTACAACCTGAAATTAAAATGGATTTTTGGGTGGGGTTGTATCATTTGATTTAGACAACATGCCTACCACTTTGAAGATGCAAAATATTTTTTTGGGTGAAACAAACAAGAAATAAGACAAAAAAACTGAACTTGAGCGTGCATAACTATTCACCCCCCCCCCCCCCCCCCCCCCCAAAAAAAAGTCAATACTTTGTAGAGCCACCTTTTGCAGCAATTACAGCTGCAAGTTTTTGGGGTATGTCTCTAAGCTTGGCACATCTAGCCACTGGGATTTCTGCCCATTCTTCAAGGAAAAACTGCTCCAGCTCCTTCAAGTTGGATGGGTTCCACTGGTGTACAGCAATCATTAAGTCATACCACAGATTCTCAATTGGATTGAGGTCTGGTCTTTGACTAGGCCATTCCAAGACATTTAAATGTTTCCCCTTAAACCACTCGAGTGTTGCTTTAGCAGTATGCTTAGGGTCATTGTCCTACTGGAAGGTGAACCTCCATCCCAGTCTCAAATCTCTGGAAGACTGAAACAGGTTTCCCTCAAGAATTTCCCTGTATTTAGCGCCACCATCATTCCTTCAATTCTGACCAGTTTCCCAGTCCCTGCCGATGAAAAACATCCCCACAGCATGATGCTGCCACCACCATGCTTCACTGTGGGGATGGTGTTCTCGGGGTGATGAGAGGTGTTGGGTTTGCGCCAGACATAGTGTTTTCCTTGATGGCCAAAAAGCTCAATTTTAGTCTCATCTGACCAGAGTACCTTCTTCCATATGTTTGGGGAGTCTCCCACATGCCTTTTGGCAAACACCAAACGTGTTTGCTTATATATTTCTTCAAGCAATGGCTTTTTTCTGGCCACTCTTCCGTAAAGCCCAGCTCTGTGGAGTGTATGGCTTAAAGTGGTCCTATGGACAGATACTCCAATCTCCGCTGTGGAGCTTTGCAGCTCCTTCAGGGTTATCTTTGGTCTCTTTGTTGCCTCTCTGATTAATGCCCTCCTTGCCTGGTCCGTGAGTTTTGGTGGGCGGCCCTCTCTTGGCAGGTTTGTTGTGGTGCCATATTCTTTCCATTTTTTAATAATGGATTTAATGGTGCTCCGTGGGATGTTCAAAGTTTCAGATATTTTTTTATAACCCAACCCTGATCTGTACTTCTCCACAATTTTGTCCCTGACCTGTTTGGAGAGCTCCTTGGTCTTCAAGGTGCCGCTTGCTTGGTGGTGCCCCTTGCTTAGTGGTGTTGCAGACTCTGGGGCCTTTCAGAACAGGTGTGTATATATACAGAGATCATGTGACAGATCATGTGACACTTAGATTGCACACAGTTTATTTAACTAATTATGTGACTTCTGAAGGTAATTGGTTGCACCAGATCTTATTTAGGGGCTTCATAGCAAAGGGGGTGAATACATATGCATGCACCACTTTTCCGTTATTTATTTTTTAGAATTTTTTGAAACAAGTTAGTTTTTTCATTCCACTTCACCAATTTGGACTATTTTGTGTATGTACATTACATGAAATCCAAATAAAAATAAATTTAAATCACAGGTTGTAATGCAACGAAATAGGAAAAACACCAAGGGGGATGAATACTTTTGCAAGGCACTGTGTGTGTATATATATATATATATATATATATATATATATATATATATATATATATATATATATATATATAAAGGTGTAGTCAGGTATTTTTGATGTGATGATGTGCGTCAGCCAATGGTTACTTTATGTCTGTCACTAAGACACAGAGATGAGAGATCACAGGCACCTTGGTTGAAACTGAAGTTAATTGGCAAGGAATTCTATGGTTGATGTGTTTTAATTTAATTCGTTCAGATGACAGCTACTAGTAATTGCTTGTGAAGTTGTTTCCGTAACACAAAAGATGATGATTAGAAAAGCTTCCAACTCAACTTTGTAGTTAATCAATCCCATGCTCTGTGCCGCCTCTTTGTCCACAGAACCAGTATCGTTTTGAAGGCACTGGCTTCCCGACCATTCCTCAGTTAATTGAACACCATTATACTTCAAAGCAAGTTATTACCAAGAAGTCTGGGGTGGTGCTTTTAAACCCAGTCGTCAAGGTAAAACATATTTGCTCTCCTATCTTTTGTTCATTCACCCTGTGATTCAGATCAGAAGTCAATGAGTGGTTTCACAACAGGGGTGGGAATGTAATTATTGCTAAAGCCATCAAGCTGTCATGGAGGCCTTTAATCACACTGTGAAACTCATCAATATGCTCAGGTTGTCCAGAAGCTTGTGGTGTTTGTGGTAGGAGGCTAATAGATGGTCAGGAATAAGCCCTTGAATAAGAATCTGACATTAACTAAATATTGTAGTTATATTTATCAGTAAAGCTGTGATCACAGTTGAACAACTTTTTGTTGATGAAGTTCTAACTAGGTTCTCCACATTAAAAAAATAAAAATCCATTTAAAAAAAATACAACGTATAGAATCGTGTGAATCGCAATATATATCGTATCGGTATCGTGAGGTCCCTGGCAATTCCCAGCCCTAATTGACAGGATTCATTCCTGGTTTCCAGACCTGTATGACGTTTTCAGGACCCATTTCTCATGTATAATAGTGCAAATGTCTTTTTAATATCCACTCTGTGTTGCAGCTGCATCCAATATGCTTTAAGTGACCTGGATAGGGGGAAATAGGCCAACACTGTTAATACCCAGGTTTAATCATAAAGAAGACCTGGAGTCCTCCTTAGCTGGCCTGCTGGTGTTGAACATAATGGTGTTTTAATTGCCTCAGCCATCACCAACACAGGGCTAATTGTTGTTGTCATTACTACTGTAATAGATCTGCTGAAGCCTAGGAATGCTAAGTGTTTTTAAATGGTCTTTCTTCAAGCATTTCATGGAAAAGCGGTGAAATTTGACCATTAGGCACCACCTCGCACTTGGAAGAATGCGATTTGGATTTGATCATTGTTTTATTCGATGAGACTGGCCGTTGGAATGCGTTATGTTGAGCTGGGCCAAAGATGGAAATACTTTGAAATTATTTTCTTGCTCTGATGTTTTTGAGGCATCAAGGTTTTTGTGGTTTATTTTTTTGTGGATGTTCTGTGTCTTGTGTTTACATTGCGTATGTTTTGTTCCGTCTTCTGTAGGATAAAAAATGGATACTCAACCACGAGGATGTTAGTCTTGGAGAGCTTCTTGGCAAAGTTAGTGATTTTAGATATCCTTTTCATTTTCAACACATCTGTAGGACAGATGTTATCTTTGATTAGTTTTGACATCCATCATCAATGATGTCAATATATGTTTGATTAAACCAACTTCTGTTACTATATCTCTGTGTTTTCTTTGTTCTTAGGGCAACTTTGGTGAGGTATTCAAAGGAACTTTGCGGGACAAGACTCCTGTGGCAGTCAAAACATGTAAAGAGGATCTTCCACAGGAGCTGAAGATTAAGTTCCTATCAGAAGCCAGGTGAGAGGACAAAATCTCATTTTTATTTGTCACATGCGCCAAATACAACAGGTGTAGACCTTACCATGAAATGCTTACTTACAAGCCCTTAACCAACAATGCAGTTTTAAGTAAATAGAGTTAAGAAAATATTTACTAAATAAACTAAAGTTTTAAAAAAAGTTACACAATAAAATAACAATAACGAGGCTATATACAGGGGGTACTGGTACCGAGTCATTGTGCGGGGGTACAGGTTAGTCGAGGTAATTTGTACATGTGGGTAGGGGTAAAGTGACTATACATAGATAATAAACAGCGAGTAGCAGCAGTGTAAAAAAAATATATAAAAAAGCTCTCGACCTGCTCCACTACAGCCCTGGCGATGTGAATGGGGGCGTGTCCCCCCCCCCCCCCCCCCCCCCCCCCCCTTTCCTGTAGTCCACAATCAGTTCCTTTGTCTTGCGCACGTTGAGGGAGAGGTTGTTGTCCTGGCACCACACTGCCAGGTCTCTGACCTCCTCCCTATAGGCTGTCTCATTGTTGTCTGTGATCAGCAAACTTAATGATGGTGTTGGAGTCGTGCTTGGCCACGCAGTCGTGGGTGAACAGGGTGTACAGGACGGGACTAAGCACGCATCCCTGAGGGGCCACCGTGTTGAGGATCAGCGTGGCAGATGTGTTGTTGCCTACCCTTACCACCTGGGCGCGGCCCGTCAGGAAGTCCAGGATCCAGTTACAGAGGGAGGTGTTTAGTCCCAGGGTCCTTAGCTTAGTGACGAGCTTTGTGGGCACTATGGTGTTGAACGCTGAGCTGTAGTCAATTAACAGAATTCTCATATAGGTGTTCATTTTGTTCAGGTGGGAAAGGGCAGTGTGGAGTGCAATTGAGATTGCATCATCTGTGGATCTCTTGGGGTGATATGCGATTTGGAGTGGGTCTAGGATTTCCGGGATGATGGTGTTGATGTGAGCCATGACCAGCCTTTCAAAGCTCTTCATGGCTACAGACGTGAGTGCTACAGGGCGGTAGTCATTTAGGCAGGTTACCTTGGCGTTCTTGGGCACCACATGTCCTAGTTCCTATCAGAAGCCAGGTGAGAGGACCACATGTCCTAGTTCCTATCAGAAGCCAGGTGAGAGAAGCGCATGTCCTACAATATAGTGGATGAAAATGACAGCTGTCAATCAATTGCAGGTCCCGTCAAGTACCTTGAAACGTCCGTTCACTCATCTAACATTATTTCACTTAACACGCTTTTAGTCTGGTGTTTAGAGATTTGACAAATATGTAATTATCTCATATTGGTACTTTCTTGTTTCTACAGGATCCTAAAGCAATATGACCATGCAAACATTGTGAAGTTGATAGGCGTTTGCACACAACGACAGCCTATTTACATTGTGATGGAGCTAGTGTCAGGTAAGTCCAGCAGCATACATTACTGCCATACAGATAACTTTTTGAGACTCAATTGTAGTTTCGCAGGTAGTGTGCAATTTCAAAAGTAATTTACAAGCGATGACCAATGTTACAATTGTGAATATACATTTTATATCCTATTTGAAGGAGGGGACTTCTTGTCGTTTCTACGGAAGAGGAAGGAAGACCTGAAGACCAAACAGCTGGTGAAGTTTGCTTTAGATGCTGCTGCAGGAATGGCTTACCTCGAGCTCAAAAACTGCATCCACAGGTATGGAGATTTTGCCTTGTTTTAGCGTTGTCAACATCAATCTGGAATACTGTATGCAACATGTACAGTATGTTTATGATTCTCCATAGAGTCTTCCAACTAGGGCTAGGCCATATAGCCAAAATATCATATCACAATATTTTTTCACAACGTTCTAAATATGCTTTGAGTAGTTCATAACCCTAGGGTGGCAACACAGAAATGATAAGTGATTTCAATGGGGCTTTCTCCATTCTGATTATTTTATACTGTTCAATCCAACTTCAAACAAAAATAATTTTCAGTATTTTCATAAATTTCTGCATTTCCTGCTCTTTTGTTATCATTTCCACACTGTGCCACCAAGGGCTGCATGAAATGGGCAAGAATCTAGACCTAGTTAACTGATGAACTGTTGGAATCGTGAAAATATAATGATTATTCTAATTATATATTTGGAATATAGTGGGCAGCACCTTGAATACATTGTTGTTTGACATGAGAACGAATGAATAAACCAGGGAGGAATTATTGACGGGGAAGGAACCAAAGTGTTTCCAGGGGACTCTAGTTAGATGTTACATTTCATGTTTTCTTACCTCGTGTAGCTAGCTAGCTAACATATTCATGCTTCGCTTATAGAGAGAAATAGTAATAGCATCGTTTTGTAGGCCCTAACTCCGCCATGGCTTGTTGGTCAAAGCCTATGGGGAAATGAATGGAGTTTTTTGGAAGGTTTTTGAATAAATAGGGGTGTGAACGTTAAAACGTTTAAACGAAGTTGGGATCCTTATCGTTAAGAAAAATCCCTAACTAAAAAACAATAATTTTTTTCTTCACATAATTAAAATCACAGTTCAGTTATCACAAAACATTGTTTTCTTGTTATAGCCAATAGGCTATAAAGACCTGGGGAAGTTGTGTAATTCAAAATAAAACCAGAGAGGAAGAGGCTAATTTTAGGCTACTTGGTGAATTTGCAAGGCATGTAAAACAAGACATTGCGAGATGCAGATTACCAAAACATATGAGCACGCTTCTGCCTTCTTCTGCCCCTCTCTCCTTCGCTCTGGCCTGCCTGCTCGGTCTCTTCGCTAATGCTGCAAGTGTGTGTTCAGTCTAGCGGTCGTACATACAGTACCAGTCAAAAGTTTGGACACACCTACTCATTCAAGGGTTTTTCTTTATTTTTACTATTTTCTACATTGTAGAATAATAGTGAAGACATCAAAACTATGAAATAATACATGTAGTAACCAAAAAAGTGTTAAACAAATCAAAATATATTTTCGATTTTAGATTCTTCAAAGTAGCCACCCTTTGCCTTGATGACAGCTTTGCACACTCTTGGCATTCTCTCATTTACATTTTACATTTAACATTTTAGTCATTTAGCAGACGCTCTTATCCAGAGCGACTTACAGTTAGTGAGTGCATACATTATTTATTTATTTATATATTTTACATACTGGCCCCCCGTGGGAATCGAACCCACAACCCTGGCGTTGCGAACGCCATGCTCTACCAACTGAGCTACATCCCTGCCGGACATTTCCTCCCATACCCTGGGCCAATTGTGCGCCGCCCCATGGGTCTTCTTCCGGTCGCGTCCGGCTACGACAGAGCCTGGATTCGAACCAGGATCTCTAGTGGCACAGTTAGCTAGTGCCTTAGACCACTGCGCCACTCGGTAGACCAGCAAAGCACCATCACACCTCCTCCTCCATGCTTCACGGTGGGAACTACACATGCGGAGATCATCCGTTCACCTACTCTGCGTCTCACAAAGACACGGCGGTTGGAACCAAAAATCTGGAATTTGGACTCATCAGACCAAAGGACAGATTTCCACCGGTCTAATGTCCATTGCTCGTGTTTCTTGGCCCAAGCAAGTCTCTTCTTCTTTTTGGTGTCCTTTAGTAGTGGTTTCTTTACAGCAATTCGACCATGAAGGCCTGATTCACACAGTCTCCTCTGAACAGTTGATGTTGAGATGTCTGTTACTTGAACTCTGTGAAGCATTTATTTGGGCTGCAGTCTGAGGTGCAGTTAACTCTAATTAACTTATCCTCTGCAGCAGAGGTAACTCTGGGTCATCCTTTCCTGTGGCGGTCCTCATGAGAGCCAGTTTCATCATAGCGCTTGATGTTTTTTGAGACTGCACTTGAAGAAACTTTCAAAGTTCTTGACATTTTCCGGATTGACCGACCTTCATGTCTTAAAGTAATGATGGACTGTCGCTTCTCTTTGCTTATTTGAGCTGTTCTTGCCATAATATGGACTTGGTCTTTTACTAAATAGGGCTATCTTCTGTATACCCCCCCCCCCCCCCCCCCCCCCCCCCACCTTGTCACAACACAACTGATTGTCACAAACGCATTAAGAAGGGAAGAAATTCCACAAATTAACTTTTAACAAGGCACACCTGTTAATTGAAATGCATTCCAGGTGACTACCTCATGAAGCTGGTTGAGAGAATGTCAAGAGTGTGCAAAGCTGTCATCAAGGCAAAGGGTGGCTACTTAAAAGAATCTCAAATATAAAATATATTTTGATTTGTTTAACACTTTTTTGGTTACTACATGATTCCATATGTGTTATTTCATAGTTTTGATGTCTTCACTATTATTCTACAATGTAGAAAATAGTCAAAATAAAGTAGGTGTGTCCAAACTTTTAACTGGTACTGTATGTAATAGGACCGTTATTCTGCATTGTAAATTGATGTGAAATTGTATGATTTTTTTCTTATCGTTTTAATGGAAACCGATGTTAAAAAATGGCTGTTTAAACGTTAAGCAAAATGTTTCCTTTGTCACATCCCTAGTGGTAAGCACAGGCTTAGGAGATATACGTTTTGTTCTATGAATTAATCTTCATCAGCTAACGTCACTTTCTGTGAATTTTGAAGTGTTTATGTAATTCAAAAAAGTACATAAAGAACACAAATTATTTGCGTCATAATTCATAAAGATCATGTTAACTGACTGATATTATCTCATAGAACAAAACTTATAAGATCTCCTAAGCCTGTGTTAACCTCAGACCTTATTTTTGGCGTTTATCCCAAAACCCTATTCTTTCCCCATAGGGATGGCTGAACGAACCAGAGGTAACTCCTCTCTGATTTAGAAGATACCATTGCACAAACAACATGCTTATCTAGGCCTACACCAGCACTGGTACCAAATATTTTATAACTAAACCAAGATAGACCACAGCCCGTCGTTTCAAATGGGAACAAATGAGTCATAGTGGGCAGAACAAGCAAGGAGCTGGGCAGAGCCAAGCACGA